TTACGACATTCGGCACCGTGTCGGTTTGTCGCGAAACTTCGATTGGTCATAACTTCTTTGTTATAACTCGGATTTCGGCATTCTTTATATATCCGCAATCCTTGTCACAACCACTACAACTTTCTTAATTAATTAAATATTAGCATTAATATCACATAATTTTCATTTCTCCAAAATGAGTCACAAAGATTAACCTAGACTATCATGTCAATATTAATGCCTAGCCTAAAAACAGGGGCATTACAAATTTTGAAATGTGATTCAATGTTTGAAAAAACTAGACACACTAATATTTCCAAAAAACTAAGTCTCATGAGTTTTAGGTGTTCCTACTGACTTGCACGAATTTTAGAAGTTAGAGGACAGATTTGGGAAAATTGATCATAATAGCTTTTAAATCACTTTTGGTGTTCTATTAAGGACTTAATGGTTAAGTCTTAAGTTTATCAATTTTGGTGTTCTATTAAGGACTTAATGGTTAAGGACTTAATTGTTCTTCTATATAATCACATATGATTATATGTATCTAGTCACATATGAATTATATAGACACGAATCTTTTTGTCCATATAAATAATATGTGATTAAATACATATAATCACATGTGATTATATGTATTTAATCATATATGATTAAAGTTGAAGAAGAACAATTATCGAATTGAGAACGCGATAACGAATCTTGTCCACATAAATCAAATGTGATTCAATAGATGTTCTCGTGTATTTAAATACATATAATCACATAAATCATATGTGATTAAATACATATAATCACATGTGATTATATGTATCTAATAACATATTATTTATATAGACAAGATTCGTTTTCTATTTTTCGATTCAATAATTTTCTCATGTATTTAATAACGTATGATTATATGTATTTAATCACCTATGATTAATATGGACAAAGAACAACTTTTGAATCAAGAACGCAAAAACAAATCTTGCACACATAAATCATATGTGATTTGATACATATAATCACATGTGATTAAATACACGAGAACAAATATCGAATCGAAAACGCAAAACGAATATTGTTAATCTAAATCATATGTGATTAGATATATATAATCTAATCATATGTGATTAAATACACGAGAACAAATATTGATTCGTCTTCGCGTTTTCAATTCAATACGTGTTCTCATGTATTTAATCAAATGTGATTTTGTATTAATCACATATGAGTATATATATATATATATATATATATTATATATATATATATATATAGATATCTATATATATATATATATATATATATATATATATATATATATATATATATATATATATATACTATCTCTTTTATAGATACAAAATGTTGTAGAAAGGTTGTTTTCCATTTATAAAAAAAAATCTTATGAACTAATATCCTCTTTAAGGTTAATAATTTTATTTGTCTTATTTATTTTCCAAATTTTAAACAAGTTTAACAATTGAATTTATTAATAATTCGCTATAAAAATATGTATATCATTAAATAGTTTCTCTCATGATTGATATTTAAATAGTAAACTTATACATATATACTTTATATAAAATCATATCATAACCAAAAAAAAACCCAGTTATACTAATATAAATATGAAAACAAAGATTAGGTTACGGTAAAATAAAATATTACATATCAATGATATAGGTTTTTATTGTAACTCTAATTAAAATAAACAAAAAAAAATAGTTAACACTTAACATGCTGTTGTCAACACATTAGAAAGAAAAAATGGCAATACACTAGGAGTCTAGGAGAAATAATTAAAAGCAGTTGTTGTGACTAGCTAGCAAGTTTTCAGCAATCCTCAAATACATTTTAATAACAAATTAATCACATTTTAATTAATATATGATGCATATGATTCAATAATTTTATGTATTTGGAATTTATGGGATTCATCTTTTGTATGTTTATTTATTGGTTTTGCTTCTTTTATATAATTTATTTATTTTCTTAATCAGTCAAAATGGTGCATTACTAACTTTTTAAATTAATGGCCCATATATTTAAATTATAAATTCTATCTCCGATCTAGTAGAATATTATAATTTGAGTAATATTATATTTTGTTTAATCGGTTTGTCTTTATTTTTGAATGGTATAAGAATAATGATATAAAAAGATGGATTTTGTTAACCCATAATATATTTGATACACCACTTAAATATTTATTTCTTCAAAAGCAGCCCACTAGAACTAAACCCATATTCTCGCTTCTCAGTTATAGGTGTGACCTAATTGTCTCAACTTAAATTATGATTTAACCACAAAAAAAGTTTAGGAAGGGACCTGATTGTAGAAATTTAAACAAACGCCGCCCACAATTTGCTTTTAGCTGAAGGTCAACAGCTAAGTCTTCCGACGCCTTGTTCCTTTCCGGTGCCTCCCTCCTCCGACGAGTCTTTCTTCTTCGATGAAGCTGTAGACTCAAATCACATGCTGTTATTTCGATCTCGAAGTGGCAGTTAGGGATAAGGTCTCGAGTAACGCTCCGACTAACAATAGATGACGAAAAAATAGATATGAGGAGCGTTAAGTGCCGCCGGTTTGATTTCCGACGGTGAGAGGCGAGGGAGATGATGGTAAGTGAAAAGGTAGAGAAGGTGGTTTCTAAAGGAAGGAGATGCCAATAAGTAGAGTTGGAGATCGGGAAATGATATCGAGAAACCAAACAGATCCAGAGAGAGTGAAGAAACAGCTCGATGATTCCGACGAAATTAGGGTGGTTTCAGCGTCATTACCATGATTCCGACGTCATTATGGTCGTTCCGATGGAGTTCCATTGATGGTGCGGTGGTTCAGATTATGGCATGTGAACTGAGATCGTTGTGATGATTTAGGAATGGAAGAGACGAAGGTGGTGGTCTCGAACGATAGGAGGCGGGGGGAGGTGTCGAACAAGTAGGTACGGAAGAAGTGAAGAGGCGGTCATCCAATGATTCCAGTGACATTACGAAGGTTCTGGCTACATTACGGTGGTTTTGGTGGCGTTAAGGTGGTTCCGGTAGCGGTTGTCCGGTGGTATGTTTCTCTAGATCTGATGGTTGACGGTGTCGGTTTTGGTGGCTGCTCACATAAATTTGCTTCAGATCCGGTGAAACCAGATCCACTTCAGCTTCTCCGACAAACCGGATCGTGGTTCAGAGCAATGGTTCATGTCTGCAGTTCAGGACAGAAGAATGGCGGAGGGAGAAAGTTCAAGAAGAGGAGATGTAAATCTGAGGACATTGTTCAGGAGATCGGCACAACATTTCTCCAGAGAAGAAGGATGAGGAGTTGGTTTCCGATTGTGGGAGGATTAGAGGTTGGGGAGGTCGTGAACGAGCAAATCTAGAGCCAATGGTTTGGCAGTGGTATGGTGTTTCAGACCACCGGCGGTGGTCTGGTGGTTCCCGACGGTTTCCGGTGGTGGTCCGGACTGTCAATTTAGGTCCGTATGAGAGGAGAGAGAATGACATAATATGGTGGAGGAAGTTAGGTGGGTAATTTGTATTTGAATAAAAAACACAGGTGTTATTTGAACTCATAGGCTAAAAAATGTTCTCAAATGTTTTCACGGGAAAAATGTTCTCATTGGAACATAACTATATTTGAGTAAATTACACGAATGGTCCCTATGGTTTGGGGTAATTTGCGCGTTGGGTCCCTAACTTATTTTTTTAACTCGGATGGTCCTTACTATTTGTTTTTGTTACGTGTTTGGTCTCTATTGTTTGTTTTTGTTACGCGTTTGGTCCCTATTGTTTGTTTTTGTTACGCGTTTGGTCATTGTCTTACCTAAAAATACTATAATTTAAATAGGAAAAAATGGTAGGGAAGGTAAGGTAAGGTGATGGGGGGGGGGGGGTGGGTTAGGGGTGTGTTTATTTAAATAAATTAAAAAATCAAGGGCAAAATAGTCTTTTTAGGTAAGACAGGGACCAAACGTGTAACAAAAACAAACAGTAGGGACCTTCCGAGTTAAAATAATAAGTTAGGGACCAAACGTGCAAATTACCGTAAACCATAGGGATATATATATATATATATATATATATATATATATATATATATATATATATATATATATTCCATTGAACATTATTGAGTTCAATGCATTGTATGAAAATTAATGTAGAGTTGTATAGTAAGTAAAATGATGATGTGTCAAGCCATTAAACTCTAAATTGTTTAAGGCATTGTGGATGCCCTTAGACTACATCTATTGCCTTTTTGCATTTTTAAGCATGTCCGACTTTTAATTTCAATTTATAAACTAATCAATGAGATACATTTTTGTAAATCATGAAGTTTTTTTTAACTAAATGATATACGTTTACGACGGTTAATTATGTTTGTCATAAATCATAAATTATGACAGCTGTTTATGACGGACACTTATGTACGTCGTAGTTTCTCTTTGATTTAAATCCTTTTTTCTAGTAGTAATATATAAGTTGGAGGAAATTCTGATCCATTCTTTATTAAATTAGGCAACGTGGTGATATTGAACTAATCACCATTTAATTAAGAGCTTTTAGCTAAAGTAAGAATAGCTTAATAAGAACTCTCCCGAAAGTAGGAATATATACCTTAATCTTAGTTATATAAAAAGTAATCTATTTGAATAGAAATGTTTAATGTTTAATAAGCTATATACAAGCGTTTATTATTTACTTAACATTGAATAAAAATGTTTATCTATCATTTAACGCATACTTACGCTTCTTCCTGGAATTGCATCAGCTCCATTTGTGACGACTAGTAAGTACATAATAATAGTTTTTTTTTTTTACCTGAAAATACTACAATGAATAACATGGATCAAAATAGAGTATCAAACACAAAAGAAACTTGACGTGATAACAAAACAAGAAAACGTTTCCTTCTATAACTGTTCCCAGTAGTAGCATGATCAGCGCTTTCACTTAGTTGCAAGTTACCATGAACAGAGTGGCGTTCCTGTTCAGTCTCTTTGTAGAAACATTTCGCAATGCAATAGTAGACTATGAAGTTTACCGAGCATAGATACACCAAAAGTCGATAATACTTGTCCAGACGAGTACCATTGTTGACATCGTATCCAAACCACCCTTGGGTTTTGAGTATTTAAATGAGAAAAGTGTAAGGGACATCACAACTTCCATATACTCCTCACGGTAACTCTTGATGGGTTCTTCTATTTGTGACTTAAAAAAGGTTAACGACCCTTCCTCAGCAAGCCATTCCATGCATCCAAGGATGCTGAATTGAGGAACTAACCAAAGAAAACTAATGGACGTGTCATCATCATCATCACCCTGCTCAATGACTGCTTTCAACCTGGAAACCTCTAATCTCCATGCACAAACGCAAGATATGACAGAACAAAACATTCCAACACCAATTTTAAACTTCTCATTTTTGGAGAAAGGAGTCCAACTATACATAATTAGGATAGCGAAGCCTGAAATATCTTGAATCACATCAAACATCTGGGCGGGAATTTCCTCATTACCTTTAAGATTGCTGAATTGTTCAATATAGAAAGTACTCCCGGCTGCTGATACTAAGGAGACCACGATTAACGCTCCCCACATGGGAAACATCCTTAAGAGGCTTCGTACCACCTTTATATCCTCTTTGTAAGAACTATTTCCTCTGTATTTTTTCCCATTTGTATCTAAATGCGGTGGAGATCTATCCAGTGCAATCCCTTCATTTTCTTGCCTTCTAGTTTCTGGAAGTCTTTCTTGCACTGAACTATTCATGGAACATCTACATCAAAATGTGGAATTTAGATTCTTTTGCATGTAAGAAATTTATTGACAATGTGAACAGACCCATGAAATAACTTTCGTTGGATGTCTCAAATAGGCTTTGAAATTACTTTTTATTTATTTATTTTAACGGCACATACACCCTCTAACCCACCTTTGTCCACAAAAGGGCTTGAACCTTCAAAACCGTTAAGGGAGCAATACATTTCCTACACATGGTATAAATAATTACTTAAAAATGCTGCGTTAGGAGGTGATTACTATATGCATTATTGATAGTGGTATGCCAATAATTACGAGAAAGTATCAATTAAAAATGGAACAATATGATGTCTCAATTTTCATTTATGTTCATATCTTTAATTTTGTTTGTTTATGTTAGTTTAACATGTTCATGAACATAAAGGAACGAACATGAACAATATAATTTGTTAAACAAACAAACATTAGTAAAAAAATTTGTTCGTTTATCTATTCATGTTTGTTCAGTTGTTCGACTAACTTAAACAAACCAATATGAATAAACCCCCATTCATGTTAAACAAACAAACATTAATAAAAAAACTCATTCGTTTATCTATTCATGTTTGTTCATTTGTTCGTTTACAACCATATATGTGGGACATGAACAAACCCCCATGCATGTTCGTTTACAACCATATATGTGGGACGAGTATAATCGATAGCAAATGCATATAAAGAGGAAGAGTATAGCAAATTTTCTATCTTTCCAATGATGTCGGATCAAGAGTTTGGCTTGAAATTAAAAATGAACACAAAGACAGCGAGACATCTCGAACACCCAACCTCGTTTTTGAATGTCAAGCACCATTACCACCAAACTAACCCTATTTTTTGGTTATCTAATATATTTTTTTATAAACAGCAAACTAATATACTCTTAATTACCACATATGTCTCAATTGAGACTGAACCCATGACCTCTCAAATGAGAAGATCATTCTCCTTACTGCTACACCGAAAGCCTATTGGTGATCATCTAACACGTAATACACACACGCGCACGCACGCGCGCGCGCACACACACACACACACACACACACACACACACACACACACACACACATATATATATATATATATATATATATATATATATATAAGAAAAATACATATATTTTTATAAACTTTGGTTTGGTTGGTTTTTATCGGTTTTTACATATATTAAAACTGAAACCGAACACGTTATTTCTTTTTTTTTTTAAATAAAAAAAAACTCATACCCAAACTATCGGTTTCTCTTTCCATTTCGACATTTTGGTTTCAGTTTTGTTGGTTTTTTTTTCGGTTTTTCGGTTTCCGAGTTCGGTTTTGCTTAATATATTATGTCATCAGGGTAATTATTTTGTATTAGATTTTTTTTCTGCATTTTGAGTAGTAAAAATCTGGATATTTTCGTGTAATTTTTGGTTTTTTTACAAATTTTTTAAGAAATACCTACGAAAACCTAAAAAAAAATTGTTACAAACATGTGACCAAAACAAAATGTCACAAAAAAACTTGTCATGTAGAGATTCCCTCCAAAATCAACCCAGAGGAAAGGCGTTTCATTCCTTTAGGAACAATTTTTCCTTGGAAAACGCATAGGAAAGATATTTCCTTGGAAATCTTTTCTCAAAAATATTTGGAAAATTCTTTAGAAAATTTCTGGGAAATGTTTTCTTAGAAGGGTTTTCCGAGAAAATGAAATCCCTAGGTAGGTCTATTTTCGAGAAATTTCCTAGGAACTCCCACCTTTTTCTGGTAGTGAAAATTAAAGATGAGAGGATAAACAACTTAAGATATTACCTTGAGTTTGAATTGAGTAGCTTTTGTACTTTGGCACGAAACACTCTGAAGAATATTTCAACGGGTCTTTGAGTTAACTCACGTTGATGATACACTTTATGTCCTGTACAAAAAATAATCAAGGCTGCTATCATGGAAATAAGACAAATCAAGAATGTAGTTCTCCAGGTTGGTTGAACGCCCCCAAAAGCATCGGGGGCAACCCATAGTATTGAAGCAATCGCACCAAATACATGTGCTATGCGCCACCAGATTGCTCCACGTGTAAGAGAACGTTTTTTAGTTCGATCTGCTGACGTGTCAATTCCATCTACCAAATCAATAAGTACATGTTTTAAAATAGCGTCTCCTGATTTTCCAAGAGCCTGGAGAACCAACGCCACGACAATAAGCCATGTCACATCATAAGGATTGAATATCCATAAAATCAATACACCCTGTCATAATAGACATATATGTTAAAAATATACCATAAATTTCATGGAACCACTAACAAGATTTAGATTACACTAAAGAAACTACGTAGGAACAAACTTAACAATGACAAACTACTTGTTGTAAAGGGAAAACCAACTCTTTTGTGAACAGTTTTCATAGATACTTATTGCAAAATTAGAATTTTAATTAGGGTTAAGACTGAAAATTAAGATAGCTCAATGATAACATCAAAACAAAGCTTATGTCCATTACCTATAATCAAAGTTTGACTGAGTTCGAAGCAAACAATGATCAACTCTCCATGTGAATATGTTAGCTCTAATATGGATATGTTAGAAGTATATAAGCTAGATTTAGCAAAGGTTTGTGGGGTTATTTACTAGTAGAGAAAGCATTTAATGGTGCAATGAGGGTTTTTTTTGGTGTGGTGTAATCAAAAACCGCATTAGTAAAACATTTATTGGTGCATTTTCTGTATAACCATAGTATAAGCCATTAAAAACACATTTATTGGTGCGTTAGTTGAAAACCACACCATTAAACACCCAAGAACAACACTATTTAATTTTTCATTTTCCCCTAAAAATTTATTCTACTTTTTTTCATCTCCCTCCCAGATCTTCTCTTTTGGTTCCAAAACTTTCAAAATATATACTTGTGAAAGGAAGCGTTGTTGTTTGTTTCTTCAGTGGTCTACTCATCCAAGAAAGAATTATACTTATGTATTTGAGATTCTCCCATCCTCTGGATGATGGCAACTTGGTAAGTTCCTCCCTCTTGTTTTTAAATATTGTCAATGTTACGACTTTTTTTTTTTGTTTTTTTTATTATTTTATTATTTTATTATTTTTAATTTTTATTTTAGCACTCATTGTTCAGGTATTTTATTTTTTCGGCCCAAAAGTTTAAAATGTTAGCATTTGGTCCTTACGTCGAGCGTAAGCAAGAGTTACGCTTGGCTTAACTCATTTAAACGTACGTGAGGGATTTGAGACCTTTCACCCACCGACCTCCATCTCCCAAAAACGTCCCTTGCAATCCTCACTCCTTTGGTGTGTGTTTTTGAACTTGAAAGTGTGTATTCTCGTGCTTGTGATGGATGAAGAAGGTGGTAGACTAGCTTGGAAGTTCAAGGCAGCTTAGATCCAGAAGTATCTCACCCTCAAACATCTTCAGAAGGTACAAAGCTTCAAACTTGATGATTTATTTGCTAAGATCTTGCTAGTCTAGGTTTTGTGTACATTTTTGGTCCCATAGTCTTCGTCTAGTGGAGTATGAGCTACTCCAGGTCCTTGAAGTGTAGTTTTATGTAGTATTGAGCTTATGGAGTCATAAAAATGAGAGCTTGGTCACTCTAATTAAGCCATGCATGAGTTTTGGAGCCTTGGATGACTTTTGGACCTAGGGTTTGAATTTATACCCTCCTGTATGCATGCAAATGGATAAAGTTAGAGACTTTGTCCATTAAGACGTCCCATTTTTCCTAGATCTAAAGTTTGATCAGTTGGCTTTCTGCATTAAGGATTTAACATAAAGTTTTGGGTTCAACACTAGTACATTGGGCGTACCTGGTGGTACGTTGCACATACTAGGTTGGAACCTCGTAACTAGGAAGGGCCTCGCTATGCCGAGCGTAGTGACTGAGTATGCAGGGCGTACTCAAACTGTATTAACCCTTTGACTTTTTTACTTTGACTTTTACCAAGGATTTGACCATGTTTGACTTAGGGGCATTTTGGGTAATTTGAGCAGTAGTTTTAGATTATGTCCATGTTCGTTGTATAGGTAACGTGTAGATTTAGTATTTGGAGCAACATTTATTTCAACTATCTTTCATACTCTGAGGTGAGTTTTCCTCACTATACTTGTGGGTCGAAGGCACTAATGCTGACCCACTGGATTATGTATCATAGTATATTGGATGATGTTATGCTGGTTATATGATAGACTAGTAGATCTATATGATTACCTATGTCCACTAGATATGTGTTAGACTGGTAGATCCGTATGATTACTTGTATTTGGTGGTCATTGATTGTTATTGTATATGTCAACATGTTATGGTTTGTTGGGTTGAGGCGGTCTTGCTTTGTGTTGAAGACCAAGATACCCAGGGCAGTCCGGATAGACTGAAGGCCTATGAGGCGGTTCAGTCAGGCCAAAGGCCCAGAGAGCGGTCCAGATAGGTTGTAGGCCCTGTGAGGCACTCCAGTCAAGTTGAAGGCTCATATATACATGCTGTTATCTGTTTGGTTGTCTGTGGTACTTTTAGGAAACTCACTAATTTTTGTATTACAGTTTGACTGTTATGGTTTCATGTACTTCAGAGGAAAATGGCAACACGAAGGCATGATCGTACACATCCTTCAGTGATATGTTTTGGAGATGTTGTAGGGTTCGTGGAAGTTTCATGAGTGAGTGTAATGGTAGCAGAACAGCTTGAAGGGTGATTGGCCACTCTTGAGACAATGAGTATAGGATGTATGTGTATCCTAGTCGTGGGGTTTTATATTAGGGTGGTCTGTGACAATCCATTAAGACTATTACGGGTAGGTGTGGAAGGTAGTATGGGCCCGTACTACTGGAAGCAAAGGATACGTACGCGTAGCAAGGAAGTCACAAACCACGAGGGTTTAGTTTTCTGTAATAGTTGTAATAACATGAATTATGGCGTTTATGATATATTTTGGTTAATTTTCAGTATGGTGTACATGAGAGGTTCTGGATCAGGAGCTGGTGGCCCAGAGAGGCCAAGTTTGACGGATGATGACATTCACGAGTTGATCGCCACTGAGGTAGTTGCGGCAGTTCAGGGTGCTATCCTAGAGGTTTTTAGGTCTATTATTAAGACTGTGATGATTTAGTTGTTCAATAAGTGGTATGCCACTGTGTCCGAGGTTGTTGTTGTTGTAGCTACCGCAACTGTTGTTACTACGGGGGTTCAGTAGAAAGGTTCAATGGGGTCAAGGACCCGATTGTGGCCATGAGATGGATTTCCGGGGTGGAGGGCTGTTTCTTCATCCGTGCCTGTCAGGAGGACTGGAATGTTAGGTGCGCCCTGAACCTTTTTCGAATGGGTGTAAAGGACTGATGGAACCTGGTAACCATTTCTTATTCTCCTGAGCAGAGGACCGTTGTTACTTAGGAACAATTCTTGGAGATGTTTTACACGAAGTACGTATCCCAGGTGGAGTGGGAGAGGTTGGCTCAGTAGTATCTGGCATTGAGGGAGATGATAGAGTCGTTGAATGAGATCACCAAGATGTTTACTAAGAGGGACTTTTTCTGTCCTGAGTATTCTGCCTCGAAGCAGGCCCAGATGACATGGTACTTGAGCATGCTCAAGGCTGAGATTTGGCAGTTTGTGTATACCTAGTGTTACAACACCCTCTCCGAGATTTAAGATGTCGCACGGAGACGGTAAATTGATATTGAGACCCAAACGAGGGAGGATAGGCAGGCTCTAGTTCAGCCATAGCCTACAACAAAGTTGTTCAATCCCGTTGTTTCATGACTTGGAGGTCAGAGGGGCCGTACTTGTGGAAAATGTCGGAAGGCCCATGAGGGTGTTTGTCGATCAGCTTCTGGGTGCCACAAATGTGGCAAGGAGGGGAATTTTAGGAGGGATTGTCGTTAGTAGGCCCCAGTACCGAGCTACATGATTTGTTTCCATTTTGATTAAGTGAGCCATTTGAAGGCCCAATGTCCTTTGCTTGCAGCTGGGCCGGTGCAGGCATAAGCACTGGCTACTTTGACGATTATAGATGTGGACGACACGGGAGAACTGAGGCCTCGACGGCCAGGGGCTGTTCTTTTCAAATCACAACAGAGGATGCCAGGGTGGCGCCTGAAGTCGTTATTGGTATGTTCTCATTTATTATTCTATCAAATTATTTGATTTTATGCTTATAATTGTATTTCTGCTAGGTACTTTCTTAGTGAACTCCTTGCCTGCACTTGTGATTTTTGACTCAGGTGTGAGTCGGTCCTTTGTGTATCATTCATTTAGTAGGAGTTTTGATATGTCTCTTAGAGAGTTGGAGTGCCCGTTGAGAGTTTCTAATGCCAACGAGCATGGGGTTTCTGCATCGATCGTTTTTCGGGACTGTACCTTGGAGATTTTTGGGGTGTCTTACCCGATCAATTTGATCCCTTTCCATATGGGGGATGTATGCATGATAGTGGGGATGGACTGGTTGAGCAGGTTTGATGCCATAATAGATTGTGATGGGCAGCGGATGGTGGTTCGAACACTAAGTGGTGGAGAACTGACTATTTATGGTGAGGGGTACCAAGGTTGGACCAACTTGTTGTTCTGCTACCAGGGCTCGACAATATCTACAACATTAGTGTTTGGGTTATCTCAAGTATGTGGTTGACACTTGGTATAGAAGGGGGTTTTGGTTTCGAATGCGCCTGTAGTCAGAGAGTTTCCAGATGTATTTCTGGAAGAATTACCTATTGTGCCTCCTGCGAGGCGAATGGAGTTCAGGATCGGTCTGATCCCTTGTACAACGTCGATTGCTAAGGCACCGTACTAATTAGCACCACCATAGATCCAAGAGTTGTCCTCTCGTCTTCAAGAGTGTTGGGCAAGCAGTTTATCAGACTAGGTAGTTCGCCTTGGGGAGCGTTGATTTTGGTTGTTAAGAAGAAGGATGGTTCACACCGGATGTGCATTGATTATAGGGAGTTCAACAAGTTGATGGTGAAGAACCGTTACCCTCTTCCACAGATTTATGACCTCTTCGATCAGCTGTAGGGTGCATCTTTGTTCTCGAAGATAGATTTGAGGTCAAGGTATCATCATAGAGTCAAAGAGGAGGACGTGGATTACGAGTTCATGGTGATGAATTTTGGGCGTACCGATGAACTAACGACATTTATGGATTTGATGTATCGGGTATGCAGGCCGATGCTCGATCCTTCGGTCATTGCTTTTATCGATTATATCCTGGTATATTCTAAGACCATGGAGAAGCATGAGGAGCACCTTCGAGAGTTTTTGGGAGTTTTGAGGAGGGAGAGGCTTTATGCAAAGTTCTCTAAGTGTGAGTTCTGGTCACAGGAGGTCTAGTTTTAGGGACACCTTGTTAACTAGAACAAGATTCTGGCCGACATGGCCAAAATTGAAGCAGTTGTGTAGTGGGAGGTCCCAAAGTCCTATTCAGAGACCAGGAGTTTTCTGGTTTTAGCAGACTATTATCAGAGATTCATTCAAGATTTCTCCAAGATTGTTGTAACTCTCACTCGTCTGACGAGGAAGGGCATGAAACCATCCGGAAGGCGTGGATGATTTATTTTTGTATATTGTGATGCATCTATCATTGGTTTAGGGGCAATACTCATGTAGAGAGGGGGAGTTATTACGTATGGTTTTAGGAAGCTGAAGTTGCATGAGGTTCGGTATCCGACGCATGATTTGGAATTAGGGGCAATGGTGTTTGCCCTCAAAATTTGGCGGGTGTATCTATATAGGGTCTGATATACCATCTACACGGATCACAAGAGTCTGAGCTAACTCATGGATCAACCCAATCTGAATATGAGACAACGTAAATGGCTTGACATGGTCAAGGATTATGACTGCAAGATTTTGTATCTGTTGGATTAGGTGTCTAAGCCCATAACTATAATTGGTATGTACTTGACCCGATAGTAGCATGGTCCTTTTGGGTTGCCTTCACCATAGCAATTTGATAGGATGAATAATAGAGAAAGAGGTTAATTGTGATTTATTAATATATTATAAGAATAATATATTAATTGAGAAATCATATTATTTAATTAGTATTGATCAAGAATTAATTTAGTGATCAAAATAGACTGATTAAATTAACCCCTGACTGATTATGTAAATCAGTAATAGTTGTAGTTTGGGCTAATGGACCCTATTGGTATAGGGTGGACGAAAACTTTATGGGAGTCCATAAAAATTTCGTCCAAGGCTTACCATAAGGGAGTCCATATGTTGCTTAGGGCATAAGAAAGGTAATTAGGGTTTCCAAGTTGAAAACCCTAGTAGCCTCAACTATAAAAGGAACCACCTGGACTCCTAAAATCGGCATATGCTTCTAAGAAGAAACCTTAGCCGAATTTAGCAGCCTATTACCTCTCTTTCATATTCCTCCATTGCTAGTTGGTATTTGTGACTCATTAGAGGTGCAACAATTGAGGCACTAAGCTCTTGAAGGTCAAGATCTACTAGCTACAAGGAAAATGTATTCTTCTAACTTTGTTTATGCTATGATTTTCGAAAATAGCATGCTAGTTTTAGGGTTTATGCTTTGGATTATTATTTGCATATATAACTTGAGAAAAACCTAGATCCAGAGCATTAGGGTTGCATGTGCACCATAGGAATGTTGTAGTGCTCAAAACCCATCAGTATCACTCGGGGAAAACGAATGTGGTTGTTGATGCTATGAGTCGCAAGTCGGCTAGCATATCGGCTGGGGTCTTATATATATGAGGATTTTTATTGATTCTCCGTTTCTGGATTTGATCAGGGAGGCTCATGCCAAGGGAGTCAAGAAGGAAAATTGGAAGCAGAAGAGAATCAGGGGTGAGAATGACCGGTTTTCTACCGATAGCCGAGGATTGTTGACTCGGTGTGGTCGGGTTTGGATACCAGATTTTGGCGGGGTCAGGAAAACTGTGATGGAGGATGCACATAAGTCCAGATTTTTGATACACCATGGAGCCACAAAGATGTATCGAGATTTGAGACTTAGTTACAGGTGGTTGTGCATGAAAGGGGAGATAGATTGGTATGTTGAGAGGTGCTTGACCTATCGGATGGTGAAGGTCGGGCACCAGAGGCCGCATGGAAATCTTTAGCCTTTGGAGGTTCCCATGTGGAAATGGGAACATATCACCATAGATTTTATCACCAAATTACCCAGGACTACTAAGAGATTTGATGCAATATGGGTTATTGTGGATCACCTGACCAAGAGTGACCATTTCTTGGCTATTCGGAAGAGTTCCTCGGCCGAGAAATTAGTTGATGTGTATATACGCGAGATTGTCACTCGACATGGTGTTCCATTTTCCTTTGTATCTGAACGAGATGTTCGGTTCACTTCTCAATTCTCGCAGAGGTTCCACGAGGAACTGGGTATGAGATTGCACTTTAGCACTGCTTATCATTCGTAGACTGGCGACTAGAGCGAGCGAACCATCCTGACGCTCGAGGACATGTTGAGAGCCTATGTTATAGATTTCGGTGGGAGTTGGGACTCCTACCTTGCCCTAGCTAAGTTCTCCAACAACAACAACTATCACTCTAGTATTGGTGCGCCCCAATTTGAGCTTCTTTATGAGAGGAAGTATCGTACCCCAGTTTGTTAGGGGGAGGTCGGTCACAGGGCAATGGGAAAGACCAAGGTAGTCCTTTAGACGACAGAGCTTATCCATAATTGTTTGTATCGATGGACTTCGAGGACGAAGTCTGATTCAAGTGGGGGAGAATTGTAACACTCACTGTTCAGGTATTTTATTTTTTTGGCCCAAAAGAATGTTGGATTTTGAAATAAAATCAGAACTAAACTTCTTATTTTGTTTACAAAAAGTTGAACCAAACGGGTATCCACCAGGTTACCTATAACTGTTGGAGATTTTTTCATTCGAACCCATCGGGTATTAACCAGGGTAGAGGCGGGGATGAGTGTAGTGTCGAAGTTCGGATACGGGGATGGAGATTATAGTCTCCGCTAATATCCGCCCATGTTTGCATCCCTAGTAGAGAGAGAAAGAGTGTAGAAGAAGAGAATGGTGATTGATTGTTCTCCCATTAAAACATGTTGTTACCACATTATACCATAACATCATTTCGGGTGATGTTCATTGTATTATAACACCGTTATCGTGTGCCAATTCAACCATAACAACTTGTAATGCGACCCATACCCAACACTCTAAACCAACCAATTCTTATCATTAGTGGTTAACAAAATCTATTCAATTCTCGCAAATTACGTTTTATTCTAAAAAACAAGTTTTTTCTTAAAAAGTGATGCTTTATAATATTTTTAAAATATAAAAATGTTTTTCTAAAATCTTTGGAAATAAAAGGGATTTTTTCTAAAAAAAAAAGGAGTGGTTTTTTAGATCAATGGTTGGGAATATAATAAAATTTTCAAAATTTCCCTAATAAAAAAGTTGTTAAGCTATCTTTAAACTTGACCGTATATATGATCTAGATAATTGAATTACATACGAAAGGACCCGTTGTAGCCCAACTTGTCTCTCAGCATGTTGAAGATTCAAGTTTAGTTACTTGAGACAAAGTAGTGTACAAGTATGATAGGAGTGTGTTTGCTTTTTTTAAAAAAAATGCATTGCATAATATTGCATAAAGAAGAGGGTTTATGGTTATTTTTACCACCAAGTAATTAGGATGAAAAAGTGAAATGACTACGCAATTCATGAGAAGCATAATTAATTTGGTGTGAAATGGGTTAATTAACTATCATTGAATGGCTCGTCATCTAAGCATAAACAAATTCTTATCGATCTCCTCTTGGAGCCACAACACATCAGTTCATTAATTAATGATACTATACTAAGAACATTAGAAGCTGGAGAAGCGAATAGGTGTCCCAACCACTTACCCACGAGGTATATTCCTATGGAGCTGTTTCCGGTTATCAGAGTAAAGATTTTAAAATCAAAGGTAGGAATCTGCTGTAGGTAATGGGTCTCTTTTCTAGTAGTGTCCAATTATTTAACAAATGAATTAGCTGCACTTACGCAGATATATGCAGTGTTTGAAAATACTAGTGTTCGGAATCTTCCAACAAATGAATCAGCTGAGTGAGCCATGAATATCACGAAAAGTGATGATAAAGAGTCTTGGATATTTGATAAAACCGCAGATCTCACAAAACCACCATCCATATTGTACGTAACATACCACATAATTACGTTTGTAACCGCATGGTATGTTAAGGAACGACTAAAAACCAAACCTGCATGAACATCATATAAAATTTAGTAGATCTTGAATGCAGGAACAAATACAAAAGACATGATTATATAACACTAACTGGATTTAGAATTGAGGTTACCAATCACAAAAAGGAGACGATGGTCATATATAAAATAGTAGTCTTTCAAGCAGAACGCCAGGACAAATATTGAAAGGACCAAGAAGCCCAGCAGAGTATAGGAAACAATGAATGGCACCCCGATGTCCATTGATTATTATCATCAACTAGCTTGCGTCTTTCCTACTTAAGTGGCCTTTCTTTAGTACTTAGATTTGTAATGGCATGCAACATGTAATTCTGTAGACAATGGTTTTTAGATATCACAGTTTATGACCCCAGTCATAGTCGACTTTAAATCCCAAGTCGTTACATCTTGTCCTTGTCTACCAATGATATATAACCATACTTAACCTTAAATTGAAGTCCATTGTAAATATATTTTTAAAGTTTCTAATAACAGTGATGTTGTAACATATAATAACAGTAATTTAGATTCTCTTAGCAGCAGTAATATAAGTAGTTAATCTTTCTGAAACTTGGTTAACAAAAATCCTAACATAAGCCTAAATGAGGCTTTGTCTTTTAAAAGAAGGGTAAACCCCAGATTTATTCTATAAACATTTATATATATTTAATTTGTACTTGCAAAGAAAGAAGTTACGAGATAAATCCCTTTGCCACGATTATATGTTTACAGAAATTTCGCAAATGTTCTTTCCTAAAGCAATTGCGAAACCTTATTGGGATAGGTGAATGCCAATATAATGTAATCAGCAATTATATCCCCCACTAACAACCAAAACTATCCTCATCAAAATAAAGTTGCAGCCACATGAAATGCCCTTAATCATCTTTATGAAACCTTGGACCAGTGGAATAAAAATGGAGTTCAAATGAAATGAACATAATCATCTTTTTGGAGCAACTTTTATGCTGTTTTGCTTATGTCCTCGCATTCCTTATCCCTTCCTTTTTTTTTTGACCATTGATCTTATCTTTATGTCTTCTGGAATGATCAACACTTTTCTGTTTAAATGCAACACTCTTAACTATGCTTATGGTGGGCCTCAAAGAAATAAAAGCACTGCTGCAACACTCTTAACATCTCGTCCTCATCACCAAAACTGAGCCTAGCTAATTGTTCAAAGGTATGAACACAATTTTGATCAATTCACTGTTTCATCTAAATGTTATATTTGTTTGTTATGTAAAGGGGAATTATAGCAGAAGCAATTTTGACAATCAAGTGGCGTATAAATTGCCACTTGACCATCGAATTTGTAAGGATACCAGAAGCACAATTATGGCGATCGGTCTCGAAGTGCGATTCAAAGGCAAGGGCTCTCCCCTTTTGGTAGTTGTATAATAATGAAAGTTAGATGGTAAAAAAATTGAAACGTGTGTAATGTTGGTGATTTTAGTGTTATTAGCGTATTTTAGTGTAGTTATTATTAATATATTGAGATGGGGTGAATTTTTTTTACTCATCGAGAGTGGAGTCGTGGGGACCTCACGGAGTGATAAATGTAAACTCGGGAATACGAGAGTCCGAGGGCAGCGCCCCTGGATACAGGGTTCCAAGGGGTAGCGCCCCTGGCGGGGCTGCCCCTTGTGGTGTCTAACGGGTAGAGCACTTGGCGGTGGTTCGGCTGACTGATCAGCGAACGGGGTCAAGGGGTAGCGCCTGAAAACCAGAACGAGTTTTTATAATATGTAAGAGTCCAACCATGCATTTCTAGCCAAAAGCAGGTATAACATGATGTCATAAGTTAGTTATGTTGTATAACCACTCCATTTTGGCGCCAAAAGCGAAGTTAACATTCCAACTGTTTTCTTACTTCTATATAAGGATGATAAGTGTTCCAAAATCGGGTTTAGAAGCGGCCTGACTTTTAAATTGTCTCTCTTAATTATCCCAAATTAGATTTCGTGATACCCCATGCATAAGGGTCCAAATCACAGATTTTGGAAAGTGGTTGCAATCACGATCCTAGAAATTATCCAAGTACAAATAGATATTCTTAGACCTAAAATCTAACATGTAATATTGGACTTGTGCATATTAGCTAAAGTACAAAACTGTAGGTCTGTATGAACAACTTCTTATTGTGCTGTTTCTGCAGAAGGAAAGGAGGAGAACAAGTTGGTAATAATTCTAGGGCAATATTCTCTGTTTATTCAAGGAGCAATATCAAACAGGTTAACTCAAAAAGAAAACTTAACATGTACTCTGCTTAAATGGAAACGAAGCAGGAAAATAAGGAACTAAACTACACACACCAAAGAAAACTGAAACTATGCCTTGACTATGTCAAAGAAGAAAAATACAAAACTAGTGCCACATGTTGGGGTGCATTAGGATTATTCCAACATTTTCCCCCTAATATGAATCAGTTATGTCATTCAGCCCAAACATTTTCTCACTTCTTCAAATTTGACATTACCCAACGATTTGATTAGGATATATATTCGTTGTTGTCGAGTAACCTGCTTCATTATAATCTCTAGATCTCCTCTTTCAACACACTCACGTATGAAGTTGAACCACGTGTTAGTATGCTTTCCCTGCCCATGAAAGATCAGGTTCTTCATCGAACTTAGAGTCGACTTGTTGTCTACCTGCAGTACTACAGGGCTAATTTCTTTGCTTGTTCTCTCACTCGGATCCACTGTTGTTGTAGCCACAACGAACTTAACCCCACAAGAAGACAAAACAACACAATGATGCGTATGTGATGCCCAAGTTATCAGGTTCGCATCGAGGGAGAATGCTATTCCAACTATACTTCATTGATCGTTTAGGGCATGTAACGTGGTAAATTTTCAATAAAATTTTCGTTTAAAATCACATAATTTGTGACACCCCCAAAATCACGGCCAGAAAAGACCGGTTTCATTTATGCTTTTAAAATAATTTCAGAGTAAATCCATTGATTTAAAAGAGTTGCGGAATTTGTTCCCAAAAACAAAATATGATAAAATAATATTTACCAAAGCATTTCATAAAGAAATGTATTTTCATTGTATATTCAAAACTCGGGATGTCATGTTCCGATACAGACCAAAAAGCATAAACGACATATTACAAGCCATACAACAGTTATATACAACTACAGGCTTATAAACAAAATAACTTGATGATTCATCCATCTTATGCCCTCGCGCCACTACCTGTAATACAACTAAATTGAGTGGGTCAGGCTTGGGAGCCTGGTGAGCATATAGGTTTTCATCCCACAATAAATAATTATATTTAATTTCACCAACCAACAATAACCCGATTACCCATTCCCGTTATCCTCACTTTACGTCCCTAAAACAACATCTATCTCAAGGGACCTAATCTAGGATTTTTCATCGGGACGGATATTACTGCAAAGGGGTTTCCTCAACAATAGATGTCCTAAAGGCAACCATGAGGGGGATAGAGTACACCGATGAACACATCGTTCACAACACCTACAGGTTATGAACCTGTCAGCGTTCCACAGGACAGTCTAGAAAGAGTCCGTGGTCGTCATCCATACTCCGCTAGATGACTAGAACAACAACAACAACAACGAGGCCTCTCATCAAATTATTTCATCACACGACAACTATCTACCCATGTTCTACCCAACATATCAGTAGATAAAATATATACATTTTCATACATAGTTTAAAACCTGTATAGCATGTTCATTCAATACACATTCCAAATAACAGATGAGACACATACACATAACACGTATTTCATAGAGAATAAATCATATCTATGAGTTTATAAGATTACAACAATACACACATATAACATATATACCTAGTACTTTCAATCGATACCTGTATTAATGTCGGGTATACGAAAAGAACTATGTACTCACTCGTAACACGTATTCTAAAGTAGATACTTCATATCTATGTGTTAGAAGAAAGGGAATATACACTCACTTGATCAGAAGATGATCGGACAACACTACGGCTTGTAGAAGTAGTATTCTTCGGTAGATCTAGAAGATCTTCACACACCGGGCTTCTCGCGGACAGAGCTTCGGCTCGGAAAACTTTACTTCTCGGGATCTTCGGGCTTCGGGACTTGCTTCGGGTCTCGGGAATGATACCGGGGCCTCGGGGTATTTCTTGCACGCAAAACGAGGCAAAAATGAGAGAGAAAGAAGAATTGGGGCAAAGGAACTCGGCTGCCCTCGACTTCTTTATATAGGGGCTAGAACTTCGATTTACGTTGGGCGTAAATCCAAGTACGTTGGGCGTACGCTTCGGATCAGACCGGAGTCGTCATGGCTTACGTATACGGGTACTCGAGTGTTGGGTCAGGTCGACGTGGTCCATGTCGGTTCATGCATATGGGTACGCTGGTTGTACTCCATTACGCTGGGCGTAATCCGATTAATCAAACTTTAAAATTGCGTAACTTTCGCATACGAGCTCCGTTTTCGACGTTCTTTATATCCACGCGTAGGTGAGACTATACTCTACAACTTTCGTTTAGACTCCGTCGGCTAAATTTGACTTTATTTTTATTATTTATTTTTAGTATGTCGGGACAGGAAAACTCCGTTAGAAATTCATAACTTCTTCCTCTGACGTCCGTTTTCGTCTGTCTTTCTTCCGTTGGACTACTATCGATGAGATCTTCGATTCTCGTTTAGAAAGTTTTGGCTAAATACTGCTCGATCTCATATTCGAACTTTGGGCTGCATACTGCTAAGCTGAAACTTAGAAAAATCATAACTTCCTCATACGAAGTCAGATTTAGACGTTCTTTTTATGAACGCTCTCGGTTTAACGTAATCTACGACTTTTGTTTAGATCACTAAGGCTAAATATCGCTCTATCGAGATTTCACTATTTACGTCACGCAGCGTGATACCGGTTCTGTCGCGAAACTTCGACATGTCATAACTTCTTCGTTATAACTCGGATTTCGACATTCTTTATATATTCGGAAACCTCGTCACTCCCACTACGTCTTCATGTATCGATATAGGTCATATCTAACATTTCATTTTCATGCTTATTTTGTTATTCTTAATTCATTTAAGCCACACAATTAAGCAATTAAGCATAAAACACATAATATTCAAATAATACATTCTTATTATTCCAAAATGGGTTACAAAGGTTAACCTAGACTATTACATTGCTATTAATGGCAAGCCCGGAAACACGGGTGTTACAATTTTTTCCACCTTAGGATGATTCCGTCCCTGG